CTTATTCTAACCCTTTGTAGAAACTTCCCAATTCATCCACTTGTCATTACCATCAGGTATGTTCATCATGCAGGCCACTAGCCTGTGGATTAATGTGTCTCGTGTACCTTTTACTTCATTATGATCCAAGTCAAAGCAAACCAGCTTTTATTTAAACAGGTTAGTTTATGTCAAGCTACTGCTGAAGGTTCCTTTGAGAAAAAAGGCATTAACTTATTAACAAGAAAAGAACACTTGTAAATATTACTTTGTCTTATCTATAGTTTCTGTTTCTTAACTTTGTTTTTTTATAAGTCTCTGTGGCATACTGTTGGTGCTTGTTACTGAAAAGAAGAGGTTAATATTTGAAGTCAGATCCGACAGCTGTGATGCATCTTTTAGATTTAGATTTAGAATTAGATTTAGATTTAGATTTTATTGTCACATGTACTTAAGTTCAGGAATATAGGAGTACAATAAAAAGTGTACAAAGTCACCATTCTCTGGTTCCATCTTAGAACACAAAAGACAGGATTAAAAACAGAAGCAGAAGTAAAAGAAACAGCCAAAAGAAAAGGAAACATTCATGTCAGAGATAGTAAAAACTGCCGATGCTGGAGTCAGAGACAACGCAGTGTGGAGCTGGAGGAACACAGCAGGCCAGGCAGCATCAGAGGAATAAAGATTCATACCACACCCTCGCCTCCACCATGTGTCCTCACCACCAGAAAAACAAAATCGCTAAGTCCATCCATCAGTCTACGAACACCCCAGTGCCGTGAGTCCCCTGCATGCAGCTGGAACACCATCACCTCCACCATTAGGTACCCCAGACCTCCGTATCCTGGAGCTGTGTTATTGCCACTGGAACCAGCTCACTATTCCTCGGCGTCATCTTGCCTCCACCTCATCGCCTCCATGAGTTCTCACTGTTCCGACCTTGGCAATGCAGCTACCGCTCAACCTGCTGGCTCCCAAACTGGGCTCAAACCCAACACTGGGCCTACCGTGCCAAAGCAGCTGATGCCGTGTTCTCTATTACATTACTGCTGCTGCCTCCTGGTACTGTCATTTCAGCAAAGCAACCCACCATTACCGAACCCCACACCACCCCCACCAGGAAGGGGAACATTCCAGTCACTATCCATATCCCGGGAAAGGGAATGTTCCAGTCACTACCCACATTCCGGGAAAGGGAATGTTCCAGCCACTATACACAT